ATTTTAGCAATGTAATTGTTATTTATTTCCAACATTTTGAAAATGCTGATAGTGAAATTGAATAATATTTCTGGAAACAAATGTAACTCTAAATGAGTTACAACTTCTGGTTCTGAGGTACTGTACACGGTGCAAAAAATGTGTTAATTTTCAGCCTGATTGCTACTTTTACAGAGTGAGCATGTACCGAAATATACAGGTAGAGTTTGGGCAATGGCGATGGTCAATGATACGTATTTTTGCTAATGTTGCTTTGTGTGTTGGGTTGTCGGCGACATTCACATAATCAAAATAAGTTTTTCTATGCTGCAAATATTTTTTAACATAATCGAAACCGAAATTGTATTGAAATACATTCTGGTATGGTTTCATTACTCGATTTACACACATCCTACTGTCATCACCCGTCTTTTATAGGTACACTGCGATATAATCACCAAAACACATGAATTTGTTAACGACAAAGACACTCACCTGCAAACTTCAACAAATTTATGATCAGGTGAGCACGAGTTGTGCTCAGCAGACGACATGATCGACGTGTTGTTTTGAGAGACTTCCGCGGCATATGGGCGCTGATCAACAAAATCAACACGGTTTTTAGATGAGTGTATAAATTTGGACATACTGTGGCAGTTTATAGAATAGCATTAATAAACAATAATCGAATTTTGCAATAAAATGTTAGCTAAACCCAACAGCAATAAAATGTTATTCCAGCTGATAACCTCGAACAGGTCAAAGGTCACTAGGAACTGACTGAACTTTCATTTTATATTATTTGAAATGCTTTTTTTTTTATCCAAGCAATTCCAACAAACAGTAATTCAGTCAGTCATATTTTGGAACTGTTAAATCGTTGCAAATTTATTTATTCAAAAATATTTTCTTTTCCATCGGTTTTATAATAAATTCCGCCCTCTCTCGTCTAATTATACGAATACGCTTGTTTATGTTAAGGGAACATGTTTCTCATAATAAACAGTTATTTGCATCAACTACTTGCTGCTCTTTATTTCAAGTAGGCATGAACCATCGTGAAAATATTGATCAATTTCAAACAGACAGGTTTCCTATGTTTCAGCCATCAAGTATCAAAACTTTAAAGGGACAATACTGGTAGTTTGTAAACTGTGCCAAGTATTTTTTCCAGACATTGTCCTGTAAGCATGTCTATTGGTGGATTTTAATTTCATCTTTAAGTTTTTAATAGGTAATCCCTGAATAAAAAGTTTTCTTACTTTCACATATTTGTGATTTCACAAATACTCGCACACTGAGCACAACATACTTACAAATATTTATAAATTTCAATGGCAGTTGAATCTATAGATAAATATTTGTGAAAATGAAGGTAATGCCTTTGTTGCACTGAGAGTAATCGAAAAAATAATGAAACATTTTAGGCAATGCCATGTTGAATATGATTTTAAATAATAAAAGTCAAAATGAAGCAGAAATCAAGACATTCTGTACATTTTAATTCTAAAAATTAAATATAAATTACATACACAACGTACAAAAATACACTACTATAAATATACTCTATGTGATTGAATTAAATTGAATTTAATAAGAGTCGGCATAATTGTTCTGGTTGAAATATCCACCATGCAGACCCAGTTTGCTAAACTGCATTTGCAGTTGCAACTATTGCAATTTCAACGCACATGTTTTATATTTTTTTAGATCACTTTTGATAATCCACTGAAATAATTATAGATCAGGATCTATTATCATAACTGCATGGGGAGTACACGTCCCATCAAAAGAACGGCAACCATGCCATATTAGATAAATAGAAAATTTGAACAAAGCACAAGAGTTAGATAAACATGATTTTGCAAGTATCCAAGACCTATACAATAAACACAAATGCATAATGGTCAGTGACTCTAGCCATCGTCATCTATTGATTGTAAATCTCATGACAAAACTGATGGACATTTTTCTTTCCCTTTCTTAATAATTTGGGCAAGGTTAAAATAATAACACCGCAAACTGTTCACCCATGCATGATATTTACACTGACAAATGAATGTAGAATTTTTGAAACAAAAGAAATAATCCTTTCACAGATCAACTTTTTTCTCTGCACAAATATCTTGTTTTCAGAAAAATATAAAAAAACTTTTGATCACAGCTAGAAATTAATATCTTGTTAACGCTTTCACCATCAGTTTCCGCTTTTCATCCGAAATTCGCAAAATAATATCATTTACAGTCAGCACTTTTCTTCAGAAGATTGTGACAAAAATAGCCAAATTGTTTGAGTAAAAACAGAAAATTGACTCAAATTTTGTTTGTTGGCTCCAAAAGTAGGATTCATTTCCAGAAATATTGAAGAATCTAAGGAAAAAAATGCAGACAAATTTGGGCGAGAAATTGTGGCAGTGAGAAGGTCTGTGTGATTCAACATATCGACAGTGTAGATATTTAAAAAAATAATAATAAATTTGAATGACAATTTGTGGCAGCAAATTTTCCGCTAGGATGATTGTTTTTTATTGGTTTGTCTTTGCTTGTAGTCTTTGAGTTTTCCTTGTCTCTTGCCTTAATCTTCCTTCTTCAAATCTTTTTTTTTCAGCATCTGTCAACAACTGCAATAACACAAAAGTAAGAATTAGTGAGAATCTATTCATTTTAAAACATTTCTCAAATGCAATTATCCATTTTCTACCAAATTTACCAAATCTAAGAGACAATTTATCATTTAGATACTGCATGTATATATGGCAAACTTATTAAAGCGACAGGATCGTCACCTGCATATGCGCAGGAATTGAGTCCGAAGAGACGATAACACCACACGCTAAAATCGCAAAGGCTCATGGGTAGATGCTTGTTTGTAAACAGTGAGACGCTATGACCAACTAACGCATGCGTAAGTGACTCCCCCCTGCTTTAATGTAAAAGTATATCTGTCAATTCTTCTAAACTTTTCAACGCCAAAGTCAACTTTTGTCTCGATTCACAAAATTAAAACAGTAAAATAATTATTTCATATTTTTTCAAAATTGTTATCAAGATCTGTAGCCAAGAGAAAATGATGACCACAAGTTCCAAACTTATCCAAAAAAACTTCAAAAATAAATAAAAATATATCGCTCAAATGATTAACCTTAAATAAGATTTTATTGTTCATACTAATATTTATAAAATATTTATCTCAAAAGCTATCAAAATACACTGATAATATGTAATGATAAAACAGCAGTATGTAGATTGTGTATTTGTGTCCTTCAGTGGAAACTGTTACCAGTAATAATTAATAAACAAAATTGAACTCTGGTGATCTTGCCCATTGTTATATAATATTATTCCCTATATCATAGTTTGTTTGAATATGAATATGCATTGTCATAATTAATTATGAAGACAAACGAGTTTTGGGGTTGAAACAACAGTGGGAAAGCAGTTTACCAAATGTCCTTGATAGATGTAAATATCTTACAAAAACATTGGTGCCTAAAAAAGTGTTGCATTTAGACGTGAATAGATTCATAAATCATGCAGGATACCAGAAAATCTTAGCTGGCTTTTGTCCAAGTATTTTGTACAGGTGTCTGTCAAAAATTAATGATTCAGTGAGACAAATATGAACTGCCTTATTATATTCAATGCATGACTACTGTATTATTTGAAAAGTAAAAAAAATAACGCTCTCTATGAATAGCTATCATGTTGCTAGCTCTGCTTTGTAATGCAAATCAACTTAAATAGTTAGTTGGTGACCAGCGGAGAGAGAAGTCAACAGTAATTTTGCAATTTTTGAACTGCAGTCTTTGTTTTTAAAGTTCATTTTTAAATTATTATTATTATTATTATAAAAGCTCTATCATTCTGTTCTAATAGCTGAAACAAATTCCTGTGAATTTTCATTTGTTGAATGAACTGTTTGTCAAATACAGAATACCTATTTTTGAGTACAATTTTTTTTTTCAAAATGTGGATGCAATGTTTTGCTTTTGATGTACTTTTTACGTATTGTTTTTGATTTGATAACTTTTGACTAAACAGATTTTCTATTAGCTTCAGATCTTGATCAAAGTTTGGCACTCAATTCATAGGAGTGCTTATATTGATTTTCTGACATCTTGTTTTCTGTAAAGATTTTAGGTTTGCAAATGTGTATCAGACATGCAAAAACTCTCTCCATGAGTTGATTTTGAAACCCAGTGTAGTATTCCAATGGGATTTGGGAGACACATTACCAAGGATATTATTACAAAATAAATGATTTGCTTCATTGAACACAGAAAACAATGCATATTTCCACTGAGATCAATGACCTTTGATGTGTATCACCAGTGATCAGTCAAGTAGAAACAGTCAAAATATTTTATCATATTTTCTCAATTTTTGCATGATATTTTCATACAGGACATCTATCGTTCATACTCGGGGAAGACTTTATACTGATGAATAAGGTGACCAAGTTTGATAAAGTTTGGAATAGAGTTAGTAAAGTTATTGTGCACACAATAACCATTATTAACGACGACAACGACGACGGACAGAAATTTTTCCCTTATTATACCTTTCCCTTCCATCTTTGATGTTACGGGCAAGGTAATAACTGACATTATTATACATCTGTCACTGTAATGCCATAAGTTACAACATTCTGTAATTTTGTGATATTGCACTGGGTATTTGCATTTTACCATATTAGGAAACGCAAATTCAAAGTATGGAACGATTACACATGTAAGCGTTCTCTAATAATATAAACAAGCATGGCAGTTCCTAGGGTTTGACTAGACCCTACACAAAAAATTTGCTAAATCTGTTCTAAACATTTTGAATTTTGGCATTCCCATGATGTATAATAATAAGGTTATTGCAAGGATATCATAAAGTATACATTTGAACAGTGAGCAGTCGCATCAACCTCCGCTGGTCGTCGGTCAATACTCCCGCCATAGTGTCTTCGTGCATACTTCGCGGTATCCTCATACATGTATCATTATACATCTAGCAGTGAAAACAATAGAATTTGGCAAGCTGTATCAACATTTGTTCTAAAAACATATCTACACTCATTCAAATGAACAGCAAAATGTTCCAGGTTATTGGCGTCACATGCCCTTTGTTTACATTGGATGCAGAGGCACTATAGTGCACAATGGAAAATAGAATCACACCACTCGATCACATAAATGTTGCAAAACATTTTTCATTTTACCTATGACAGAGGAAGTGTAAAATATAGGATATATGCAAAATCATAAAAAGATAGTTCAGTGACCTTTAATGATGGAATACTCTGGGGTGCCCAATCATCAGCTGATAGTGACACCATTGTGAAGAAAGCATCACATGCTCGCTCTCTGTAAATTCTATTTGATGACCCATTTGATAAGTCCATATACTCCACATCTACAAGAACCTGCACTTCCATTGACTTATTCCCTGTGTATGTGGGTCTGCCAATCATGTGAATAATACCAGCTACAACAAATATACAGCAATAAGTTAAGTAGCAGAAATGGTAGTTGATTGTGACTATACAGGATAATGAAAGTACATGTGAGCTTGGCTACAAACATCAGTTATTATTTC